GCGAAGCTGCGAAGGTGCATGCTTCTTTGCCTTTTGTTTTTCTTTTTTGTCCTTTTTGTTTCTCTATCTACTACTTTCTTGCATTCCCACTTAGAAAGTGGAATTGTCAGGTAATGGATCATGGAAAGAGGTTACACGCTGGTAGAAGTAAAGATGGATACCTACCTCCTAAAAGGCAAGTAAATGGTTGTGAAGCCGGCGGCTGATTACAATCCGTTTTGTTCGTCATATTTATGGGATTTTTAATTGTGAAAGCGCCTTTATGTATTTGCAGTGTAATGGGTTTGGAGCATCCTCTGTACTTCATTAATACAATAATTTTTATTTGTTGATAAAAAAAAAAAGTGGAATTGTGAAAAATTTGATAATGGAAGACACAAGAATGATTGAGAATTTTTGTATGTATCTCATTAATACTAAGAAAGCAGTTATATACAAGTTTGTATGACTTAATCTAAGGTGTACAGAAATGGAATGTAGAATGATTCTAGCCTATAATACATTAATGTGAAAGATATGACAATTTTATTTTCAAATTGTTCCTTGATCTTCTCTGCAGCATTTCCACCTTGATCAACTCTTCACCACTTATGCCTCAATCATCTCTATACTCCCCCTCAAGTTGGAGCATGAAGGTTACAAGTGCCCAACTTGGATAAGATGGCTAAAAGTTTCTCTCGGCCCAAGGCCTTAGTGAAAATATCTGCTAGTTGCTAATGGGATGGCACATGTGTTGCAACTAATTCCTTGCTTTGTATTCTTTCTCGTACGAAATGGCAGTCAATTTCTATATGTTTTGTTCTTTCATGGAACACTGGATTGGAGGCAATGTGTAGTGCTGCTTGATTGTCACAGTGTACTGTCATTGGTTGTGGATGAGGGACTTGAAGATCACGAAGTAAAGACTTCAACCAAATGAGCTCACTAACAGTTGTGGCCATAGCCCTATACTCTGCTTCCGCCGAAGATCTCGAGACAGTCACTTGTTTCTTAGACTTCCAAGAAATTGGAGAATTGCCAAGACATATAAAATATCCAGTTGTAGAATGCCTTGTCATGGGACAACCTGCCCAATCTGCATCACAATAAGTTGTTAACTGAGGTCTATGTGTAGAGGAAAGCATGATGCCTTGACCAGGGAAAGATTTAATGTATCGCAACACTCTCATTGCAACTTCAAAGTGATATTTTCTGGGATTTTGCATAAATTGAGTAAGAATTCCAACAAAATAGCATATGTCCGGCTTGGTAATAGTTAAATAAAGTAGCCTTCCAACCAATCTATGATATTGAGATGGATCGGGGAGAGGCTCACCAGATTCTAAATTAAGGTGATGATGTTATTCCATGGGAAAAGCACTAGGCCGAGCACCAATCATACCTGCTTTCGTGAGTATGTCTAGGGCATACTTTCTTTGGCTAAGGACAATCCCATTTGGAGTTTGAGTCACCTCAATGCCGAGAAAGTACTTCAATGGCCCAAGGTCTTTGATTGAAAATTTTGTGTGTAGATAAACCTTCAAGGTTGAGATGCCACCCGGATCATTCCTTGTTATGATGCTGTCATCTACATAGATAAGGACTGTAATGAACTTTTGATTATTGGTAAAAGTGAACAAAGAGTAATCTGCATATGATTGGACGAATCCTGCATCTTTTAAGGATTTTGTAAATTTTGCAAACCAGTTGTGTGAAGCTTGCTTGAGTCCATAGAGCAACTTGCGGAGTCTACACACTTTACCTCTGTCCTTGCAGTTGAAACCTTGCGGAATTTTCATGTAAACTTCTTCATTTAAGTCTCCTTGTAAGAAAGCATTGTTTACATCAAGTTGGTGGAGCTCCCATCGATTCATGGATGCAATTACAAGTAGAACACGAACTGTAACTAGTTTTGTGATCGGTGCAAAGGTTTCATGGTAATCAAGCCCTTCAATCTGTGTGAACCCCTTTGCAACCAACCTTGATTTGTATCTTTCTATGGTACCATCTGCTTTGTATTTTATTTTATAGACCCACTTGGAATCTATTGCTCGTTTGCCTGGTGGTAGAGTCTCAATTGTCCAAGTCCCATTCTGTTCAAGGGCAGTAATCTCTTTTTGCATTGCTTCTCTCCACTTCTCGTCCTTAA